CAAGGAGAAATATCTTGTAAACTATCCTTTTATTTTTGGTTATAGCTTAATTTGTCCGCTGGGTTTAATTGCGGCATACTTTTAGAAATTTCCAGCATGAAAAATGAGTTGAAGAAGACCATATAAAATGCAAGCGAAAGGAAAATTTAAAAAATGGCATGGATAAAAAAATAATAATAAAATCAGTACATTCCTCACAAAGAAACTGATACATATTCATTGCATCTTCATGACAAAAGCGAGTTTAAAATTTTTACATATTCAAATTTTTATTCATCATCATTGAATCATTTCAATAAAGTTTAGCAAGTGTAAAAAATTATCCTAAATAAAAAACTTTTCTTCATATAACTTATGCATTTAGATTCAAGTTCAATTTATTGAATCCAAATGGATTGCAATTATCAGTTAGATTAATACCTTAATTTAAAGGTAATGGAACAAAATTATCTTTCATCACAATTTTAAATGAATGGGATTGCTTCATTTATACCTATACCTTCATGTTTGTTTTATTAATTTCTTTTCTTAAAAAAACAGAATGAGTGATACCAAAGGTTTAAAGGATAAACCATGTTGCACTTATTTTACATTTGTAATTTAAAAATTCTGGAATAAATTAAAAATAGTTGAAATAATTGCAATTATTTATCAAGTTTACATCAACTAGGTTTCAATTAATGTCTTATAGTAATCATTTATCATATGATCTCACAATATATATTACCGCAATATTTCTACAATTTTCAGATCATCAGATAATATGAAGTACCAAAAAGTTTCTTCAATAGTTGTTAATTGTGTTAGGAAGATTTCTGTATAATAAATGAAAATTTGAAAATTTTATTTTTTTACTGATTTTATTAAAAAACAAACAAAAAGTAAAATTTTCAGATTTTTGTTTACTAATCACTAAGCCAATAATAAAAAAAAAAGAGAATACTTTAAAAATAACACTTCTAGATATTAATTCTGCTAGATTGACTTCTAATCTAACATATCAACTTCTAATTTTTCTACCATAGCATTGTGATGTCATAATATTTCAGATATTTGCAATATGTGGGCATATCTGTAATATGCGCATTATCGCATTTAAGGCCATTAAATAGAAAATGCTAAAAATTAACTAAATACTCTTTTAAACAGAAATTTTTGCATTTGAAATATATTACAACTAATTATTTCTATTGATATTAAAAAAGTGTTCACTACGTAACTAAGCTAATTGTATTTTTTATATTCACCTCCCTCGGTAAAATGTCGAATAATTTTTTGAACATTACAAAATTTAGAAAAAATTTTTGTAGCTTGTTCATTTTTGTTAAACTATAAATTTCTAAAAATATTTACATGTTGCCGTAAATAGTTTATGGAGAGGTTTAAAGTGATATGAAATTAAAAAAAAATTACATTTAAAAGACATATTCCTTTTCATTTTAGTCGTAAATCAATTTCGTATTCACTTGTCTATTTGCAAGCAAATTACAATTTTTTTTTCAAATGAATAATTTGATGATTATATGCATTACCCAGAAAATAATCATAAGGATAATCGTAATTTTTTTTAAAATGAATTTCATAATTAACATATTTTAACTATTTTGCCGAACAGGAGATCGCTCTCATTTTTATTTTATACAGCTATATATATACGAATTTAAAATTTACAACTGCAAAATCTTGCTGTAAATATTATTTGCAAGCAGAAAATTTTCATGCAATGTTATGCATAAAATGATCCTTTATCCCTTATTTTTACTTCATATTAGTACAGCATTTTCATACTAGAATGCATCACATTTATGACCAACTATTTCAAACATAAACACAACACACACACACACACACACA